AAAGTTTCAAATTACCAGTGGCAAAAACAATCAATGCAACCATTCCCCCAAAGCACAAAAGGTGCTGTCACAGATGTCAGCATTTGCAGTGCCTCAGGGCAGGGGAGGGGCTGCGCAGGGGCAGGCAGAGGAACAGGGGCAGAGCACAGCACAATCAGCAGTAATCTAATGAGAACCAATGCGGCATGTGCTAATTTTTTGGTGGGCGGATCGCTTGACGAACCATGTTCATACTGAGTAGCAAATCGACTCAATATTTCAAATATGAAATGAAAATTAGAAAAAAAAAAAAATATCGTTTCACCGATTTTCCACAGTTATGTGTGGAATTATGCGATTTCAATTCAAGCACAAATTTCTTTGGCAAGTCATAGGTTTCATTTATTGTACGACTGGCTTACGACTATTAGTTCAAAGTTCGCCCAGAATTGAGTAAACAATTTCCATTCATTTTGCAATTCTTATCCGTGTTGTGATAAGTTTGTCAGACGCATAAAATTGGCAAAAACAACATAAAGAAAAACACAAGAATTTAACATTCAAAATGAATGAGATGGAAGCTCATATAAGAAACTCTCTAAATTAAAAGCAAAGAAAAAATTCCACTTATATTCCACACTTATGGTACATATGGAATTTCTAAGCATCTTCGACTATGATGTCAAATTCTAGTAAGATTTTGATTTTATCAAAGTTGTGATCATTTTTGGTGAGTTGTTTAAAGAAACTGCGATGCCAAATTGTATGCAATAAATAAAAGACTTGTAGCCCGACTTTTAATGCCCAGTAGGTAGTTAACCGTGCAGCAGGAGAGCTGTGAGTTGCACGTGGGAGTGCGAGCTTACTTATTCACTGCCAAGGCAGTTATGAATATTACAGAATGCCAAAATGTCTTGTAAGTTCGCTGAAGTATGTAATATGCGAGCACTTTTCATTTGCAAGTAACAGTAACTGTTGCCATTGCCGTTGTCGTTGCCGTTACCGTTAGTGACAGCGCAAAATGGCGGCTGCCAACCTGTCCTGTTTGTCCGTTAGCTGCCTTCCGGTTACGGTTAACGTTGCAATTCATATAAAAATAATTATTTGCAAGCGCACATTCATTATGTGGAATGGCAACCCTGGCAACAAAATGCCTGCCACCTGCCGCCCGTTGCCTTCGCTTCCAGCAAACGATATTAAAAATGCAATTTGGCCAAAAATGCGTTCTCCTTGGCCAGATCCGTTGGCACTGTTGGCTGTTAGCCCAGGCATCAGGCAACTCTTGCCTGCCTCAATCACCACGCACTTGGCAATACGCAATACGCATTTGCAAATTGCATTTCCAACTGGCTGCCCGTGTCCTTTCAGTCAGCTCAGGTTGCATTGCGTTGCTGGACATGAACATCGCCGGTCGCGCATCAAATTAAACGCCCGCGCGCAATAAACATTAATAAAAATCACACAAAAATTGCCATTTGCAAGGTGCAGCCGGCAAACGAAAATGGAAATTGCTCATAAACAAGTCCATCAAATAAAGTGCACACAGCTGAAACTCCAAAAGATAATAAAACCAAGAAAAACAAAAACACTTCAATTCACAAATGCAGAATTTTAAATACTCTATCGAAGACAAACAGATATATTCTGCAACGAAAGCAACTCGGATTATCCAGTCTGCTGGAAGTTCGTTCCTTGATATTTTCGCCTCTTTCTTAAATTGATTTTGATTCTCATCATGAGGATCATTTAGTTTTAAGATTGTAATATGTATGAATTCAGTAATTACTTGATTAAAGAATCTATTTTACTCAATCGAAAAGCATTTAGAATCCTTCTGAAATTAAATAAGCATTATACTTAATTCAATAACTTTTGGCCTCTATTTTGTCTGTAAGCCAAACGACTCTCTTTGGAGTATAAAACGGAGCCATTGGTGACTTTTGGTGTTAAACCACAGCACAATATTAACAATGACGCATACGCAGCAAATATACACACACACACGCACACACACACACACACACACACACACACACACACACACACGCAACAGCGACCACCGCAGACTATCAAATTTTAATACGCCAGCAGCTTGTGCCTTTATTTCATAAATGTTTAATGAAATTAAGCGGCAAGCTTTTTGGGTGAGCTGGCCCAACTGCGTCTGTCCCGTCTGTGGGTCCGTCAGTCTACGTGTCTGGCTGCCCGAAAAAGAGTATTTCGAAATAAATCATAAAGAATAAAATACATAAGTAAGCCAGACAGTTGGGCAGCCAGTCAGGCAGCCAACAGGCATTACATTGTTTGCATACCTTTTTAAACGATTTTAAAAGTTGCTTTATTTTTAAAAAAGAAAAACTTTTTTTATTTTATTTTACTTGCTTGTACTTTTAACCACAACTAAATGTGCGGCTGCTAAATTATGAAATAAGCGGTTTTTATATGCTTTTGATTTTAATGAGTGCAGATACACACACACACAGTCACATACATACACACACACACACACACACACACACACTCACACAAATGCATGCATACATCAACTAAAAAGGTTAACTAAAACGAGCACACAAAATACGAATTATACTTCCGGCAAGCGTGAGTCAAGCCAGGCAGGCACAGGGTGCCTGCTCGGCAACCAGGCAACACCCCAAAAAGTATGCAGCAAAAAAACTACGTTAGAGTCGAAATCGTATAGAGCCGGGGTTAAAGTCGGACTGGCATTGCGCATATACTATGTGTGTGTATGCGAAATCAAAAGTTGTTTATGACTCAATTTGTAGTTTTTGAACATGAATTATTGCAGCTGCGCGCCAAAACGAAAAAACGGACTCAAAAAAAAAATATATATAAAAAAAAAAGAAAAACGAAATGAAAGAGCAAATGAATGTATGTGCTGGTGTGTGTGTTTCGAACTACACGAAAATTGTGCAAAAATTTACTCAAAACTAATTTCGCAAAGAGGAAATTAAATATGGCAAAGTTTGACATATGACAGATTTGTTGCTATTGCTGTTGTCGTTTTCGTTGTTGCATGTGCTTTGGCATTGTCTTGATTTTATTTATTTACGAGTGCATAAATGTGTGTGCGTGTAGCTGTCTCTGTATGTATCTATGTGCAACAGCAAGTAATTGAAACATTTCGAGCTGCTGCACATGCTCCTAACTGGAAGCTGACGATGCAAATTTTCAATCTGCAGCAAAAGACAAACATCATTCCACAATAGAAAACGTATTTTGAGAGCGTATTTGACATTTCATTTCAATTAATTTGCTTTCAGTTTCTTCCATGCAAACTTTTGCCTGCCACTTAATTTAGTCAATAAGATGCAAATGATCCCGACGCCGCTCTAATTAGAAACGCAGCGCCAGTCCAAAGGCAACTTCAGCTCCAGCCAGTTCGTTAGTTTGTCTTGTTTTCAATATTAAAAGCTGCGGTGCTTTAAGACTATGCATAATCCAATAGGGAATTTCCGTTGACAGCGACAACGTCAACTTAAGACTGATGAACTACAGCATTTCCACATTTCTGTTTTAGCTACGTGCATGGGCGTAGTGCACAGTCTGAGACTTTCAATATGCGTTATTGTCTTGAAATATTTTGTTCGTGTACACTTTGTATGGTATCTCAAATAAAAACTTGATATATCAATAGTATACATATAAGCACATAAGAACTCTTGCGGTCAGTATTTACCAAGTTCATTTTCGATAAGAGTTTGGTCCTTTTTTCAGTTTTGAAACAGAAAACCAATTGAATACGTATAAAAACTACCATAACCAAGTCTATATATGAATTCAGCTAGACGTCATGGGGTCATGAGATTCACATAGAAAGGCGCTTTAATATTTCACAAACACATTTCTGTAAGCAAAGCCATTTTACTATTTTAGTTTTGTATTTCATAGTATATAATTCTAATTCGTTTGAGGATGTTGGAGCCCCCCTTTCTGTCTACCACTCTGACTTTTTGTGTGTGAGAGAGAGATCCACTGCCATATGCAGTCGTGCCAAGCATGAAATGATGTGCACATTCTTCAACATCAAGTGCGCCGAATATGTGCGTTTATCATACGACTGCGGTTACCTTTAAGCTACCGCGGCTGCTGCTGCCCACATCTCTATTTTGATGTTGGTTCATGGTTACGGTTTCGATTTCATACGGCGCTCACTGTCGACACATTCGCTGACAAATGGCCAGAAGTGTATAATTGGATAAGAAGCGTTTAAATGCTTGTATCGTGCAGCGCCAATTGATTGAAGGCTTATAATTTACTTTTTGTTGGCGCTCAGTTGGAAAATTCAATTAAATTAAGCGCCAATGTGCAATTATTTAAGCGCCAAAATTTGAACTATGTTATATTTATGCAGATGGAGGCCAGCTCCAGTGCTATTGCCAGGGCCGGGACTCTACCCAAAATGTTTCATGGCTGACTACTTATCGCTTAATCACATCAGAGCATCGACCAGTGTGTTGGGCCATAAAACATTTAGCAACATGAAATCGTTACTGTTACTGTTACTTTTGCCAGACATCAAAGCCAATCAAAACGGCATTTCAATAATATCAGAGCACTACAATCGCATCAGCGAATGCCTAGGTAGGTGGGGGCAGTAAAGAGACATGCACACACATACACAGTCAACAAAATGTTGTAATGTGGCATGCGTGTGTTTTGGTGGGGTGCTGGGGTTGGCGTATAAACGATTTGTTCGCAAATATCATGAGCAGGAGCTCACACCCACAGTTGACAGACAAGCTGAACCACACCACCCATACGCGCACACACACAGACAATGGTTGTGGGGTGGCAATTGTGTCAAACGAGACTTTCGCTTTTCAACAAATGTGTCCTTGCCCAAACGCTAGAAGATAGCACATGTGTGCGAGTGGGTGGGTTGGGTTGGAGAGTGTGTCTATATTAGCCATAACATAAAGATATGTGACAGGCACAAAGATTGGCAGCAGCACGTGGCGTTTCGAAGAAAGGAAGAAATTATCGAATTTTTAGTAACCTCTTTTTTTATGGTTTATTTTGCTTGTACCATTACTGTTTAATTTAGACTATTTCAAGGCAAATATAATATTCTGTCAAATGCTTTGGCTGCCAAATTTAATCACAATCCTTTTCCACGGCGGTTTCCTTTTCCTCTTTATTTTTATAACATTGGCAAGCTTCTGTATCGGACTCTTCGGGCTCTACTGGCAGCGGGCATTTAATGTCATCGGCAAGTGGAAATAACTTATTCATGATCGGAACTGGGTCGCATAAAAATGAGCAGTCGTCTTCACCATCCGCACAATCGGACATATCACTTTTTTCTGCGTCTGCGTCTGCATCTGCGGTTCCATCGCATGGGCACAGGGCTCGCAATTCTTCCGCTTCTGAGGGACTCAAATCCAGCATGCAGTTAACGTCGCCCTCTTCAATCTGTATCGGCTGCGGTTCGGGACACTCCATAGCGGCGGCCTCCTTTTGTCTTCCACAAGCGCCACAGCACACGGAACAGACCTCGGAAGCGGGATCAACTAAAGGAGCTTGATAGGGATTTGGAGATTGACGCATCTGATTTGCAGCTTGGTTAGTTTGCAAACAAGGCACAGCAGCTGGATCAGATTTACGAGGTTGAGGAGACTGCATTTTAGGAGACTTAGCTTGAGGAGGACCCTGATTACATACGCCACACGGTGCATTTGCAGCAGGAGATTTGGCAGCTTGGGGATATTGAGAATATTGAGGATATTGTTGAGCTTGTTGGCCTTGACCATATCGAGGAGCTTGAGGATATTGAGGAGCTTGTTGAGCTTGAGCATATTGAGGAGCTTGACAACCTTGTTGGTATTGTTGTCCACCGGGTGAATATGCAACTGGAGGTTGCTGAGCTTGTTGAGCTGGATAAGAATTTTGGTAATAGCCACCATAGGCACTAGACCGATTTTGATTCATCTGGCCTCCATTAGTTTGATAAGCATTTGATAAACGTCCACCGGGTGAAGCTGCGGCGGGAGCTTGTTGATAAGCCGGGCATGGTTGCCCACCGGGTGCAGCTGGAGCGGGAGCTTGCTGATAACTCGGGCACGGTTGCCCACCGGGTGAAGCCGCAACGGGAGCTTGTTGATAGGCCGCGCATATATGTCCACCGGGTGCAGCTGCAACGGGAGCTGGCTGAAAAGCCGGGCATGGTTGTCCACCGGGTGGGGGTGGAACAGCAGCCTGTTGACCTGGAGCTGAATAAATATATTGGTAGCAATCTGGACAAGTTGGATATGCAGCAGCAGCAGATAATCGTTTTGCACCCTGTTTTGGGGATTGAATAGCATTTGGGGTACATTGTGCACCGGGTGAGGGAGCGGAAGGTAGTGGAGCTTGTTGATATTTCGGGCATTGTTTTTGTGAAGCCGATTGAGGAGGCTGAGGCGGCTGACACGGTAGAGCCGCAATGGGCGCTTGAGTTTGAGCCTGACAATCGTTTGGAGTGGAGGGAAAGTTGGGGCAGCCGGGCGCACACGGATTTTCACTCGTTGCAAAGCTTGCAACATCCTGCGCATTATAGACATCTTGAGGGCAGTCACAGTCTTGAGACACAGCTCCCTCTTCCGCGGCCTTCTGTTCCAAATATGCCTCGCTTGTTATGGGACAACCTTCTAAAGCTGACTTTAGGTTTTCTTCGTCGTCGCAACGGCAGTTACAATCTGGTTCATTTGCAGCAGCCTCTTCAGCCCCACAATTTGGATCAGCATCAGAAGCTGTCAGCTCTTCGCCATACCTGGCCAACAGTTCGATCAGGACACCATTTGTCCATCCAAAGCCCGTTTGGGGCTGGTGCTCGCCATTACAGGCGGCAGCGCCAAGTTCCTCGCAATTATACTGCAGAGGAGGATTAATTGACACAGAATCGCAGGAGCACGTTAAAAAAATAAGCTCACCTTTTCGTGCATAAAACCAGTTTTACTAAACGCCTCATAGTTAGTTCTTACCCACCGCTCTCGCCAACGCTTTGACATCTCGTCAGCCTCGGGAGTGCCCAGATTATTCAGTCCCTCGATCAGCATGAGCATCATTGGTGGCCATACATTCGGATAGTCCCATTGCTGGCCAGTATTACTCAGTGTGTGCGGCACACCACCCGGAAATGAATCTAGCTTATTCTCCTCGATGTAGTCCATAACAGATTTCGAGATCTTTTCATTATCAGCAATGGGATAGGCATGCAACCAGAGCGGCGATAGATTTGTGACGACAAAATAGTCGCGGGGTGTTTTATTCTTAAGATCGTAATCCAGCCAGACGCCACGCTTCTCATTCCATAGCACAGCGGTTATGGCCTTGATCAGACCACAGGCAATATTACGATATTGTTGCGCCTTGGCGGTATTTCCGGCCATGTTATTGAACTCGGCCAGTGTCTTACAGCTACGGAAGAGTATACAATTCAGATCGACGGGCACTATCCAGGATGTTTTGATGTTGGCCAGTGTGCCCACATTTGTGCCACAGGGCGAGACAAACCAGCGCGAACTAAAGTCCATGCCCGATTCGCAGGCAGCCTTCAGGTTTGCATAATGCTCCTCCTTTTCGTCATCTGAACAGAAGCCAGCCGCGCTGGCTACATCTTCGCGGTACGATTCGGGTCGTGGTCCCGATGATTTATCGCGATATTGATACATGGTGCGACCCTCGACCTGCACCGAATGATTCTTTAAAAAGTTATCCATCTCCATTTCGAGCAACGGTAGTATGCGAAGAACATATTGATCATCTTTGGTAAACTCTAAAAATGCCTTAACCATGAGCACAAGCAGAGGTGGCTGTGACCGACCCCAGTAGTAGACGCGGCCGCCATTGGGCACCGCCTTATACTGCTGCACCATATACAGCAGATTATCAATCATGCCGCGTGCCGTCTGATGCATGCCGGTGTAGAGCAGACCGCGAACAATCCAATATGTGTCCCAGTAGTAGAACTCTAGAAATCGTCCGCCGGGCACAATGAACGGATTTGGTACATATACCAGTGAGTACATTTGGGGGCTTGTTCTGACACAATCCTTCATGTTGCGGCCCAGCTGCTTCCAAATACGATTTAAGTCCGAACCAAACTTTTTTAATTGTGGATCCTTGATTTGGGCTAGGAACGCGGGCTCCATTCGCCAATCTGGCGGACACCAATATTCCATTTCCGTGCCAGGCTGATCAAAATGATTATCCACGAAATTGGTAAGATGTTTCACCGATGTCTCGTTCTTCTTGCATGAGCTAAACAATTGGAAATCGGCGAGTATACGCTCTGGAGAATAACGACAGCTCATGTCCACAAAATACTTGCAATCCTTGTACAAGCCAGTCATTTGCACGGCTCGCAACAACGGCCCGCAGCAGTAGATGGCACTATATGCACATAATTTTACACACACTGTATCGCAGGACATTGTTAGGTAACTTACCCATTGGCACCGGCGAGGTGCACTTGCCCACATTCAGCGCATTTGGGAGCATTTGGCATTTTGATTATAAAAAAATTTGTGTGTGTGGAGCCTGTGAAGCCAAATGACAAACTGGTTAAAAATTAAGGCCTAGCAACGAGAATGAGACAAGTAAATTAAAGTCAACTAATGTTTTTGATATATTTTGAAAAGACATGTTAGCTCGGACAAAAACAAACAATCAGTCCGACTCAACAAATAAATCAAAAGCAAACGCATAACAACCATTATATTGACCATTAAAACAAATTTGTCGACATTTGCCATTAAGAGACAACAATGCGCTCTTTCTCCCGTCCATAAATCAGCGTAAATAGACAGGAAGCGCCTTAAAATCTGCTACACACACATACACACGCACACACACAAGTGTAGCCCGCCAGAGCCATACATTTATTTGAAATTACCATAAATGTTTTTGGTCCACCCCAGCTCCCCCTTAAAGGCGTTTGCCTAAAAGCTATTGGCCTCTTGTCCATTTGTAATTTCCAGACAATTTATCAAACAAGCGAGCTGAAGGCAAAAAGCAAGAAAACACAGAAAAGACAGAAAAGACGGCAAAGTCAGAATTGAAATGGCGCAGAAAATGCGCTTCAAGTGGCCATGGACCAGGGAAAAACTCGATTTCTGAACTGATGGCATAGAATGAATCGACCGAATGGACAATTGAAATCAGCCGCGCACCACTTCATAAATTTCCCAATGCAACTTTGCCCACCTTCTGAAAACTTTCGCTCGGCAAAGCAAAGAGCAAGAACATTAAAATTAGGCATATTTGGCATTCGAGTTGTCTGCAAAGTTTCTTAAGTAAAATGAAAAAAATTTAAATTGTATTTTCCCGTTTATTTTGACTTTAACTTTTGGGACTGTGTTGCGTGTGATAAGGCTCAATGGATCTGTGAGCCTGCCATTTGCCTGATGCCAATAAAACGCAGTGTATAATTAATGCAACGGCTTGAAAAGTGAACAATGCAAGCAGCTCTTTTACATACACTGAAAGAAATAAAGCAAGGTTTAGAGACCAATTGGGGCAGCCTAATCGATATTATAATTTTCAACAGCATATCATGCCATCACGTGCACGTGCTTAAAAAGATTGCGAATTGGAAGCGCGCTTTAAAATTTTACAATTATCTAAATATTTCTTACAAGAAGCTTGATTTCTTGTGAATTGCAGAAACAGAAATCCCATGCCCAAAGCGTACCTTCATAAAATCCAATAATCTAAATAACAAACAGATGTGTACAAATATTAAAAGAATGATTTCATTCTTGGCCCCATTTGGGTATAACTAAAATATACCTTTAGAAAACAAACAAAATGTTTCATCGTAGCAAACATATTTTTTAGAATTTATTGATATTTAACTCGAAATGTCAAGGAATTTATTTATTATCAAACCCAGATTAAAAGTGAAGTAATTAAATCAATTTCAGATAAAATTGTGTCGCGATTTGTTGTTGTCCTTTTTTTCGCAGTGCATGCATTCAGAGGACGCGATGTTGACACTTCGCGCGAGGCGATAGCCACGGGCAAGGCATTGATCAACTTAACGAGCCGAGCAGCGACATCCGCAGCCGCAGCCGAGGCAACAGCAGCAGCAGCTAATTGAGTATTCTACTTTTAAGTGGCGCCTCTGCCAGTTGCAAGCGACTCGCCGACCCGTCCCGCCCCGCCCCAAACCGACCATACCGTGCTGTTAACACACTTCAGCTGCGTTTGCTTGTGGCAGTTTGCAGCTTGTGCGGACAGTCCGAACTGCCGGAACTGTGCGGCCTGTGGTCAGCGCGTATAAATCAATAAGTTGCCATAAATTAATTAAAATAAAAAGCAGCGCATCTCAAGGTGCTGCCAGGGCAAGTCCTGTGTGTATTACAAGTGCGTCTCCATTTTGGCTTTGAGCCGCGCTCAGCCGAAGCAATCAATCAAAATTGCAGCTGCCTTAGGGCGCCCGCTGGGTCGCTCGGTGAATCTGAAACTGAATCACGTAACGCCATTCCATGGCGCATGATAAATTGTCAACACGCTGACGTTTGTCTGCAGCGATTTAAAAACTACTTAAAATGTAAATGTTGTTTCGCAGTTGTTGTACCCTGCACCCATTGAAAACGGGTCAAATAAAACGGGTATATTGGTTTCGTGCGTTGCATGTAACAGGCAGAAGCAGGCTTCTTTAATCCCAAAAGGTATGTATGCATATTATTGGTCAGCATTAATAGCCAAATCGATCTGGCTATGTCTATCTATATCTGTCGATCTGTGTATGTCTGTTGTATATCTGTCTATCCATTTCTGTCCGTCTGTCTGTTTGTCAGTCTACCTCTATCTGTCTGTCTGCCTGTCTGTCTGTTTATACATATCCTTCGTCTGTATAAACGCGTTGATGTCAACGTCGCATTTATGTAGTTTAGCTCCGCCCAGCTCAAGGTTATTTTGAATCGTCGACAGCTCGCTCTGTGTCTACAAAATCGATAAAAATCGATATCCAGATTATTTTACATTTAACCTTTCAGTTACCAAATTAAAAAAACAAAAATATAATAATATTAAAGCTGGAGTCTTGTATTTTGATATTTAGAATAAATAAATATAGCTATCGGATTATAAATATTTTGAGCAGCACACAGGCTATCTGTTAGTTGGGCACACCCGAATAGAGCACATCAGCTCAGCCCAACATTCCGACTCTAAGTTTGGCATACCCGACCAAATCATGTCACCTCGGTGCTGCTTACAGGCCATCTCTTAGCTGGGCGAACCCGACTAGAGCACTTTTACTTATTCGTTGTTGTTGTTGCTGTGTGGATGGGTGTTGGGTTTTATGCACACGTCGCAGCGCAGTCTGCGAAAATCATGTTGTTGACTTTGAAAAAAATATGTGTAAAAATGCGCTATTGTAAATAACGGCACATAAACACGCAGCCCGACTGACTGACACTGAGACTCAAACTGACTGACTGACTGACTGACTGCCTGAGAGACTGATGACAGGGCATTGTCAACAGTCAGCAGTATGGCAGCAACAGCAGCAGCAATCGACACACACACATGCACACACACGCACACACAAATTCTATGGGTGTTGTCAAAGTGCACATTGTGTTTGTGCTACGCCTTTTTTGTTAACAAATACATTACATTTCGAGTGTTAAGCTTGCACTTGGCATTCACTCACTCACTTGTTTGTCTCAACACTTGGCAGGACTCACCTGCCACACATACGCATATATATTATACACTCGCGTACTCGTCGCATATCACCCAATCGACCTGCTCTGTGATACACTTGTCAGCTACCAAACAGGTAATGATATTTTTATCTTCACAAAAAAAAAAAACGAACTATTGTATAAATATTAACAAAAGCTACGAAAATTATCATCACAAAAAAAGGTAAAAGGTTGCATACTTTTTATCTTAGGATCACAATTACATTTGAGCTCTTTTGATTTTATAAAGACGGACATATTTAAATGATTAGATTAACGAGTCATCGATTTCGAGAGATGGCACTATTTGCGATACTTTCAAAATCGATAAGAAAAATATAAATAAAATATAACTAGGCTTTTGTAAAAAGTGTGAGACGTCTATTGATTATTTATTTATTGCTGAATGTGTAGCGAACTCTAGTTCTGACGCAATGATATTTTTTGATAGAAATTAATATTGGCACACAATTACAAAGCCTTTCTTTTGTACAATATCACGTGTCTATAGTCCAGATAACTATTCGTTAAGCTGGAAAGCCTGTGTCTGGAGCAAGTCGAACTAATCGCATAAAGTTTCATCCAAAATTACAGAGGGTCTGGTCAAGTGAGCTATAAATTCGGCTGTCAAAATACTTGACAATTGATTAATTGAAATTGACTTTGAAAGTTGGCCGATAAGCGGCAGCAGCCAGCACAGCACACTTGGTACAATCGTCTTCGTTGTCGTCGTCAGGGGAAGTGGGCTGTCAATCAGCTGAAACCCAAATTGGCACACACACTTCCCGCCCCCCACAGACACACGTTCAGGCACACACGCATTGTGTGGTCATTTGTTGATGAGCTAAACTTTGACCAAGTAGACACACGAGTTTCATCAAGCAAAAGGCCCAGAGGAAAGGGCAGACACACATGCCGTTCAAATTAACCGAGACTAGTTAAACAGAAAAGTTTCCTTTAACGATATACAAGGGCAATCGGCAAATGTGTCTGATGTTGTTTTTGCTCATATCGAGTTGACAACTTAAATTGTTAGTTGGCCGATAAGCGACCAGCCGCTTGCAAGGGTGGCCTAACCCCACACCCGCCCCGATCCCGTCCACGACCCTTGCCTGTTGTGGTGGGCGTGTATAACATTTTTATTTATTTCACTATTTTTTATGTGCGCCGCCGACGCTACGGAACACGCGCCACATGCCAACGACAAACAAATAAATAAAAATCCAGTTTCGGCTGCACCAGAAACCGAAGTTCCAAGTCAAGTCTGGGCCTGGGCCGGGCCGGGCCGAGCCGGGGTCAGCGTGTGGAGCGTGTGTTTTACAAGTCTATTAACTTGAAGCGCTTATCTTATGCTGACAGCAAGTTTTTCACTTTGCCAAAGTTTTTCTTGCCACACACACACACACACACACTCACACAAACACACACGCCCACACAGCAAACGCAACTTCCGCTGCTGCTGCTACTGCTGCTGCGTTTCCGCTGCGGGGAGGCGTCTCCAACTGGCAACTGGCAACAGTTCAAATGTTGTAGCAAATGCCGCACATGTCAATCATTTGTTTTGCCATTTTTCTTGCCACCAAAAGCTACAAAATTATATAGATATAAAGAAAACGATGCCAGAGCTATGCATAATGTATGGCAGCTCATTTCCCTTCAATTTGATGTTGGTCCACTCGGTCCAGTTGGGTGTTGATTTCTTGCTCTTGTATACTCTTGCGTAGAGCAATATAGTTTTGTCATGGAATGTGGAACACATATTCGAAGTCATAAAGTGTATATACTATTGTCGATCTGTATCAGCAATAGAACCGTTAAAGCCATGTTCGTCTGCCTTCAAACCAATTGTAAGCTCTACAAATATCCAAATCAGCCGAGTCGAAAGACTATATTGAAAACTTGGTAGTTACCATGCATCCTATCTATTAGCCAAATCTGGTCATCGTTCGACTATATCAAATTGTAATCTATAAAGAATCGATCGAGGAGTTAGAAGCTTCGCCAAGCACAACAACTGTTACAAAATTTGTCGACATAGGAAACATCAGTCAGAAGTTACATAAGAGAGCATTGAATCTTCGACATGCCCTACACAGAAGCTCTTGCTGTTTACGTATATGACCGAGTCTTTAAGAGATGAAAATTCTCCCGCTGTTCACATGAAAATGTTGCTCTTTAAGCGTTTGGCTTTTAGAGTGTTAACTGATCAAGTGAAAGGAAAAGTGCTGAAGCCAACTGTTAACTTTCACACTCGATGGCTCGGTTGGCCACAGATACTTAGGTATAAGCAATTTCTGATTTGCTGGCAGCAGATAAAGCTCAAAGGATACAACTTGTTGGCCAACGAAATGGTCAAGTGAAGTTGCGCCGCAACAAGAGACAGAAAGAGGGCCGAGTATAAGGAGTGTGAGTGAGAGAGGTCGAGGGAATTCTCGCTTCATTAAGCACAGCGCCGCACCACAAGTTGGCCAAGTTGGCCAGCTCGAACTGGCTAAATAATATTTATGAGCCGGCTAAATGCTTGCCATCAGCCACTACTCGCAGGCGCTTGCAGTACTGCATCCGAGAAATTCTCGAATCCTTGAGCCGTGCGACAACACTATTCCCTTTTTCAATGAACGTTGCGCATTATTGTTATTAGTTTTCAGGTTGGGCACATAAAAACTTCAACAACAGTAACTGCAGTTTAGCTAGTTCCCATCCAGTGCTTACACTGTTGCATAACAAGGAACAGGAACAGCCACATCCTTAACTTGTTGTAGTTCCACTGCCCAATGCTGAGTGGGTGCACAGAGCTTTGCTGATGCTATCTGAGCACATTGTCGCTGACATTTTGTTGTTGCTGCTGCTGCTGTTGCTGCTGTTGCAGCAACATGTTGTTGATGATAATGCTGTCGTTTGACTATGTTGCCATTGTTGTGAGCAGCAGCAGCAGCAGCAGAAGCAGCAGCAGCTGTGGGGGCATCAACAATAACGTCAGCTTAACTAAATGAAGGTCCAAGTGTCATGGATGCTCCTCAACTTTGACACGACGACGGGCTGCTGCCACTGTCGGCTTCGGTGCCTTAACTTAAGGGTCTGGGTTCGGGTCTGGGTCTGGATTTGGTTCGGGGTCTTGTTGCAGATGCGCATGTCGTTGTGGGTGTGTTTGACTTGTTGTGATTGCAAGTAAGCAACCAACTTTTATGTCAATCTCCAGTTGTAAAACTTACTTACAAACTTAACTCTTGGCAATAATCGCATGCCAACAGTTAACAACTGCCAAGCTGCCAGGATCAAATCAGCACAGGCATATGTTTGCATAGTTTAAAAAAAAGGGGGAAAATTAATTATAATTCTAGTTGGATTATGTGAGGGCTGGTAGAAGCATTAAGTGTGCTAAAATATCCCAAGTTAGCAGTAAAAACTAGGTACTGCCATTTTCCAACATTCCGTACAATTTAAGGTGCGTTTTTAATAAATCAATGTATATTAATATATATAAAATAAAATAATTCACACGAAAGAAAATAATCTCGGAGAGCTCTTAGCTTTATAACATATTTAAGTATACATTAGATTTACTTACCTGTGTTTAAATATTTTCAGATTTCGATTTTTAGATTTTGTGAACATTGAAATATTTTGAAACACATTTCTTTGCATCGTATCCTTGGATAACTGAAAAAGAAGTTAAATAAATGTTATAAAATATTATTATGACATGTTCATTTTATTGTTTGGTTAAATTTAGTTTTGAATTAATATTTAAATAATAATATACTGTTTCAAGCCCCGTTGACAGGCTGGACAGAAACACTATGTAAACATTTTTGTATTTAATATACTACATTTCACTTCTCGCTATTGCATTCAATCATTCCTGGCTCGTTTAACATGCCAACTGCAGATAACTTAGTTTTATTTTTTGGGGGGATTTCAGGTGAATTTTGTGATGTCTGCATTTAAACT